ACGCTTCCATCCATTCATCCATCTATCCATCCATCCATTATCTTTACCCGCTTCTTCTATTTTTGGGACATGGGAATCACTGGTGCCCATATCCAGCATTCACTGTGTGAGAGGTCACAAGTGTGTGGGATATATGTATATGTGTTTTATATGAACGCCAATTTTGTCAGCACAACTCTAAACTTAAATCCACGTCTTTGGAATCCCTAACTTGTCTTGCTGGGATCAAGCAAATAGTTTGAATCAAGGTTGCCTTAGAGTTTGCCATGAACTGAAGACAGTTAAGTTGTTTGATTGTGTCGTTAATCTCCCCCTGCTGCTCAGTAGCTGCTCCAGGGTTTGATGTAGATATTAAAGGTGTGCATACTTAACTTAAAGATTAGATTAGACTGAACCCTGTGTACACAATCCTCAATTTTATGCAGAGAGTGCTCTGTATGGATCTCAGGAGCCTAGAATTGTGTCCTTAGTGCAGGGGTCTGCACCAAGCGGCTTCTTGGTCCCTCTGCAGTGGCTCTTTCAAGCTTTGACCAAAACTATCATAAAACAGTTCCATTGGTTGTTAGACCAACATTAAAAATTAATTAGTTTTAACAGCTTTCCTGTCTTTTTTTTTTTTATTTTGCAAATATGTGAACACTAGAACTAATACAAGAAGTTAAACATACCCACTTTAACTATATGCTTTATTTCTTCAAAGTAAAATACTTACGGTAATTTTCCACAATTAAATAAATTACATAGGCCTGCATAGTTCATTCTTTTAATTTTTAAAGAGATAGTTAAAGCTACTTTTTTTCCCCCTTCATCACAAAATTGTGGTAATTTATTTTGTCTTAAAATGTAAAAACATCAATAAATGTTTAAAATCATTATATGTTTTTAGTTTTATATTGTCACCCCTACTGGTTCGAAAAGTCCAACAAACTTAAAGAGGCCCATGGGCCACCAGTTGGTAATCACAGGTGTTGCGGCTCTGGACACATTTAAATGAGTGAACAAAGTGGCAGAAATGGCTCTTTTGAATTTAAAAGTTGCAGACCTCTGCTTTAGTGTTTTAAGATGGGCTGTTTGGTGCGTGGTCATTCAGAGACATACTAGTATGTTTGTGTGCGTCGGAGGGGGAGGACCCTGTTCAGACTTTGTTCATGTTTTTTGTGTTCTGTGCTTAGAACATGGCTTCTGTATGTAAGCACCAAAGTTTCATATGTGGTCGCTTCACAAGACAAATACCACATATGTCCACAATCCCATAATGCCATGGCACAATTCTGTAGGTCTGAAGCTCACGCCATATTAGCACGTCGCCACCACATTGGGTATTTTGCCTGTGCTAGGTTACTTCCTCGTGGACCCCACCTCACTGATATTCACCCAGAATCTTGATAGGCCGCCACCACAACAATAAACCATCACAATCTTGCTCCAGAAGTTTTATGCATGCTCAAAACTATCATGGCTTCATGTATTCTGAAGACATACGTATATACAGTATGATTTTTGGGAGGGGATTTGTTACATATATATGCTTATATAAACATTTTGCACAACTATTGCTGCTAAAGTAAATTGATTATATTTATTTTATGCTCGTATGAAAATTGCACTATTGTCATTGCTAAAGAGATTGCTGCCAATTTAAATTTCTTTGTACTCCTCTATACAATGACAATAAAGCTTCTTTTTCTTAATCAGAATGGTATCATGCTTTTTCATCCTTTATTTAGCCCACTGCGTTCTTAATTTTATTTAATTTCTTACTCCTACATGTGTCCAGTTAACCACTGTTTTTGTCTGTCCAAACAGGTCTCACTTGTAAATGAGTCTTCAAGGCTCAATGTGATTTATCTGTTGAAATAAAGGTTGAATGAAAATTTATGCCGGAAGGGCCCTGCATGCTCTGTTCAAAGAGGCAAAATCAACTCTAGTTGGACGTGGTTGCGTAATGAAAATCGTGACATTTTGTTCTCTGAGAAGCTTCGCCCGCCCCTTCTCAACACAAGAACACAAGAACATTTTCTCACAGAAGTATGCGCAATATATTGTGTGATTGGTCAGAAGTTTGTGGACATGTCGTCAATTCAGTTCATTTCAAAAGCACTTTATTAATCCCAAAAGGAAATTAAATGTTGTTTTAACTCGTTATCCTTGTTTCATTAAGAGATGTTATAGATACTGATGGCTGTAGACAGGAAGGATCACTTGTAAAGGTCTGTCCCACAGCAAATCCAAAGAAAATGGCCACAGATGCCATCCGATCCGTCCACCCAGACTCGGCTGGCCTCTCGGTTCCTCTGGGCAGCAGGACCGCCCAAATGCCGGGCAGAACTCCTCCCAGCAGCCTGCTGAGCTCCTCATTGCTGCGGACAGATCCTGTCCTTCTGTTGCCATGAGCCTTGTTTCCTGCCAGTTCCAGGATCTCAGTGGTCAGGCACTCGAGCACAGCCGGCAGGGAGATGAGAATGCATCTATGGCGCCTCCTTTTCAACTCATTTGAGATTTGGGGCTGTAGCTGAGATATTATTTGAGCTTTTGAGGTGATGCTCAGATGCTCCCAGTTGTAAAAAAAAAAAAAACCTTGTTGTTATGGTTATGCATAACCAATGTCCAAAACTAAAAAAAGTTTCAGTAAAATCCTTCCAGCTGTACAGCATGTAATACCAGAGGAAACAATCATCCAAAAAAAATGTGATTTACATCCAGAAAAAGAGGAATTAAAATTTCTAAAAGCAAAATCTCAGAATGAATGTAACAGAGTTACTCCAACATGCAGCCACCATGAGTGGTGCAATTCTAGAACTGGTAAATGCAGTAAAGCGCTCAGACATTCAGCTGTACGACTCATTAAGACACACTAAAAAGTCAAATGAGCAAAAACTCCTGGATGGAGTTTGTGCAGACATAGAGCATGGAGGAGTCTGCTGAAAAGTGTGGCGCTCTCTTCATGATAGATTAGTGGCCAAATGGCAGGTGCAGGAACCGAGTGGAGACTGGCAAGAAGGAACCCGTGCAGTGATGTATACTGCAGTGGGAGGGTTAGTTCTTCACCGTGTGTCTCGTAGACTATGAAAGTTGTGTGTGAAAATGAACGTCCACGAGTCGACTGTTTGGCTTTGGATGGAGTATGCAGAGCTCTTGAAGATCTCACCAAGACCCTGCAAAACGATGGTGTCCTGTGTTTGACACCAAAGTGAGGTATCTATCATTCAGTGGGACTTGGTAGGAAGGGGTGACAGGGAGAGCAAGTTAAAGTGTTTAGGTTCAGATAGTAGAAACTTAAAAACTAGTTAAGTCCTTGGTTTCAGGTTGGGATCAAGTTCAAGTATCTTTATTGTCATTCACATCACATGTGGTACATGAGGCGGAACAAAATGTGTACTCAAGGTCCCAGTTACACTAGGTTACAATCTGAGACTTTGAGCTTTGTTCCCAGTTATCTGGGTTTAGGTGAAGTTTGTCGTCTTTTCTACCTGAACAGGCTTTGAGCTTCATCTTTGTGTTTAAACTTTAACTCACACAGGGAAAATGCTCAGTGCTTTTTTTTTATTCTTTGCCTTTTATAAACAGTTGTTGCATCACTTAACAACGTGAACGCAAAGCCCTTTCATGCATTAGTAACGTGGTTTCCTCTTGTGTCATTGTAATTTTATTACCCTAAATGCTTTCTAGAAGTACACAGTGGATCATCTCTGCACAAATTCAGTTTCTACAGTGAAATCCATCGAATCAAAGCCTTATTTATTTTTAAAGACCAAATGTAAAATTATTTATGTCAATTGACCGTTGCAGAGTTTGCAGTTTTGCAATATTACTTTCAATAATGGCAATTCTGTAAGCCGTGTGTCATGTGGATGTCAGCCTTGTGTTTAGGATGTCAGAACTTTGAAAATCCCTGCTAATGTGAATGTTACTGTAAATAAATGACCTAACCAAAGACAGTAAGTTCCTGACAGCTCAAAATCATTGTGCATGTCTGTTATGTTGATATTACAGAGCTGCACTGAGGCTGACACCTAGTGGTTAAAATGCATTAACACATTTATGTTCAAGTGAATTGAAGTAACATCTGTATTTCCAGTTCGCCTCATTAGATCAGTACATCTTCATTGTGAACTGTACTTGTGTGTTTCAGAGCTCTGAAGCTGTGCGGCTCAGGAGGACCTCCTCACGTGAAGCTCGTCATCGAGTGGGAGCACAGAGTCAAAGACTGGTCAGTGCGTTCGTGTTCGTACTGCAGAACGTTTCGCAGGACAAGCTTGTTCGTTTTTCTGTAACTAAGCCTTCGTGTTGCCGCAGCCTGTTTGGAAACATTCACGAGGAAGTGGTGAAGGACGCGGACAGCGTGAGGAATCTGCAGCAGCAGCACGTCCAGCAGTTCAGCTGCACTTTAGACGAGTGCTTCCAGCTCTACACCAAAGAAGAGCAGGTATTGTTAAACCTATACCGAAAAGGCACTTGACACTGTAACTTTTCTGCATTATTTAGGTTATTCTAATATTAATGTTACTTAAACTGTAAAATTGTCAAAAAGTTAGTGGTAAAGAAACGTTTTGATAGTTTGAAGGTATAAAAATCTGTTATTTGTGGTTCATTTTAGGTTGGAAAACAGAAAGTGTCATTTTGAGGAAGCAGCGGTTGTTAAAAAAAAAAAAAAAAAAGATGAAGACAACATGTTTAATGAAAGACAGACTGGTCTTGAAGGTGGCGAAGGTACAGAAAAGGGTGACGTCAGAGAATAAAACTTGGTGGAGTCAGTTCAGTTCGAAGGTTTCTGCAGCCCAAACTGCTGAAACTGCAGGGAAAACATTTGTTTTCAGACAAATGTAAAGTTTGTGCAGGCAGTGAAGAGCAATTAGACATTAACCTGGAAGAGTGGGACATGTCTGACAGCAAAATCTAGAACCGCCATGATATTGAAACAAGCATTTAAAAAAAGCTCAATTTAAAAACTTTTTACGTTAAATGTAACTCCTGTTGTTACTATTGCTGCTTAATTGAAATTGCTCTTAGAAAACAATACAGAACAAAGGGATGAAGGCAACAGATGTGAGAAGAGCCAGCCTGTAGTGAGCCTGCGCTCCACAGCTCAGACACACTTCACAGAATAAACTTTCAAAGTTTAAACGGGTCACACAAGTTTGGACTGAACTGACATTTTTGATATTTTTATTGCAATACACACGGCAAACATTGCAGTTTTTGTTCACAGTTTTTTGTTGAGAGATGTAACCGCAGAATGTTCAAATTAGAATGAAGTCACAGACTAACTTTTGAGCTGTCTAAATTTTCCAAACTTTTAGCCAACACACTCTTCCTGTTCTCACAAACTTTACAATTCTCATGTAGTTAATACCGTAATTTTTGGACTATAAGCTGCTACTTTTTTCACATGCTTTGAACACTGCGGCTTATACAATGATGCAGCTAATTTATGGATTTTTACATGCTAACGAGCTTCACGCTGCCATAACATTTAGCCTTGTCGCACCTGGGTTACTTACATAGCTGCCCAAAACATGTCTCGTGATCATGCGAAACACGTGATCCCTGGGGGCACAACAAAGTATTTGCAGCCACTCAACATCATTGTTCATCATTCGACATCATCGTATCATTTTTATGTATTTATTTTTATCACAAACGGGTTTCGAAAAGCTGGACTGATGCGTGATGAAGACGACAGCACAAGCTCAAGTGCGAATTTGCCTCGAGACAAAAGAGACATTGAAAACGACAACGAAAGAGAGACTGACTGAGGACGTGTGTGATGAAGTAACTCTGAGGCTGTTCAGTTCTGAAAATGAAGAAGACAACTTTAGTGGTTTTAGTGCACAGGAGGAAGATGAACATAGCAATCTGTGACTTTTAGGCCTGTTGCGATAAACAATAAATCAATTAATAGCATGATAAATGAAAATAATCAACCTCATTTTCATTTATCAGCTTTATCATTTCTTCGTGTCACTCTCTTTCTACTGAAGACACTGGATGACAAAAGGCTCAACTCTGGTGCTCTTCACTGACCCCTCCCTTTCTCTTTTGTCTTTAAAATCTGTTTTAACTCCTATGTTTCTTAAAGAGACACGCTGCTCACTCCCTCACTATCCATCCTTCAGTTCAAACAGTATTATATTACCATCTAGTGGTCAAAGAAAGGTACTACACACAAAAATTAACCAGCATTTCTTCTTAAAATTGACATTACTAATTACTGTCAAATTTCAAACAATATTATTGTTTATTGCAATAATTTCTGAGACAATTAATCGCACAGCAAAATTTGTTATTGTGACAGGCCTA